CACGGTTGAGCTTAGCTGGATTTGAACTGGTGACACAGAAGTGAAAAGTACTTTCTCTCCCATCATAGAGTTATAGAAATGTAGGGCTGGAAGGCACCTCCAGAGGTCATTTAGTCCATTCCCCTTATGCTAAGGCAGGGTTAAATATACCATCCCTGACAGATGTTTGTGTATCCTGTTCTTTAAAATCTCCAATGATAGGAATTCCACAATCTTGCTAGGTAACCAGTACCAGGTTTAACTATCCTTATAACTAGAAAGTTTTTTCCCCCAATAGCCAAACTAAATCTCCCTTGCTGCAAGCTAAGCTGAATACTGATTTTCCTACCCTCAGTGGACCTGGAGAATAATTGATCCTTCTCCTCTTTATAACAAACTTGTATATATTTTGTCCCATCCCCCTTAAGCTTCTCTTCTGTGACTAAAGATGCCAATTTTTTCAACCTTTTCCCATAGGTCATGTTTTTTAAATAAATCACTTTTAATATTAACAACAATTATAACTTGCATGGGGTAATATTTTTGATTAGTGAGTAAAATTGTATTTGTTTTTTCATTATCATCATCGTGATAAAGATAGAGAATAAATGTTGTGCCTGAGGATTTCCAGGTTAGTTTTGTCTCAGGAGTCATCTAGTCCCCTGAAACTTAGAGAGAACATTTTTACAGCCATGCACTGACTTTTCTTTCTTATGAGTAAATAACTTGGAAAAAATATCAACCGAAAATAATACAACTATGAAACTGTTGAGTGTTTTCTCTATAGAGTTATGGACATTTTCAGGGTGAAAGCTGTCAACATGGGGGAAAAGATGGAAGATCATCTGGACAGTGAGCTTTTGTTTTGGTATTTTGAGCGTCTGTAAAGACTGACATTAGGAAACATCTGTATTTTATGTATTTATGATGGCTAACACCCAAGGCTATATCAACTTGTCTCTTAGCAATTCAACTTTCTACAGAGTGTTACACAGCATGAAAATGACCAATACAGTCAGAGAAGTCACGAAGCAAAATCAGTCAAAAGCAAGGAAAAATTCTTTGGTGAAATGGAACAATCCTGAGCCTTGGTCGCATCAGAATTTTTCGCAGATTGCTCAGTGTTGCCCTTGATGCTTTTTAAACTTCTTTTCTTTAGTTAGCTTCTTTGGAATGAAAAAGAAAGCCTTATGGCACAATATCATCATTATGGAACAGATGGTCATTTTTGTCTTGGACTACAAAATTGTATCACTTGGTATCTGTCCTTTTTGGCAAGGTTACCTGCTTGAATTTCATGTTATGCAATAAGCGATATTAAAGATCTGAAAAATCCACAAAAACATGATGAGGGGACAAATTATAATGAAATCAGTGCATTAGGAATGATACGCTGTTTTCCCCTCGCCATTAGGAAACTGTTTCGTTGTAACTCATGGTGCATGGTCATTTGTGGTTCCAGGTCCCCTTTTAAAAAAAATAGGAATGTTATATTTCATAATGAGATCTATGTCTGGTTGGTACGTGTCACTGAGATAACAGCAGGTGTGTGTGAGAAGGCAGTAAAGAGCTGATGCTTGAAATATGGCCTATCCATTCTCCCGCACCATTTTCCATGGCTATTCCAGTCTTCTGGAATAAGGCCCTGAGCCCCAGAGATCATGCCATGCCTTCCTATAGCATTGCACCCCACTCCCTGGAATTCATGGGATAAAGAGCTTTTCTGTGTAATACCCATGCCCATTGATCAGTATTGTTACTAGTTGGCATGTAAACTTCTCCTTGTCTGTCTCTGAGCTGATGGTTTAGTTTGTTTGTTTGAATGATAGCAGCCCACACATTTTTTCCAGCCTATCTATGAGGCTGAAGGAGTATATTAATGGAAGCTTGAGTACCTGAGCTTTGCCACAGGCAGGTCATTAAAAAACGGAGCTGGGGATTTATTAAGGGCCTGAGATGCTGAGTACTTTCAAATCTCCATGGCTTCGGTGAGTTGAGGGTACTTGCCACCTCACAGAACTTGGCCCTAAATGAACCATTTTAGGTTTTAATGTATTCCTCACATCAGCCGTTGTTGTGGACAGTAGTTTTCTTTTCATTCCTTGTTCTGAAGAATATAGGTTCAAGCCTGGAAATCCTAGATGCATGGAGCTCTCCTTGCCTTTAATAGGAGTGAGAGGTGTTTGGTGATTTGGAGTGTATATGTCATCTTAATTCATTACTGTGGATAATTTCTGAGACTCATAAATTAGAGATGGAAAAGGCCTGTTAGGTACTTCTTGTTTATCTTTATCTTTACAAGAGTGAAGAAACAGAAGGCTTTGCCTTTATAAAAAAATAAAATCAAATCTATGTTTACTTACTTCCACTAGGTGGATCCTCTGTCTCTCATATATTCTCTCCCCAGACATGATGATAAAAGGTTACCTTTCAGTTACAGCCCTTATCTGCATTCCTGAATGCAAATGGTATCCCATGGTAGTGTAAATTTCAATCATTGATGAGCAACTGTGACCTCCGGGTTGGGCATTTTCTGGCAGTTGATGTCTGGCTGGAGGTATGGAGAGCCCAAGGCAGAGCTCTTAACCACTAGGAAATGCTGAGCCCAGCGGTCCTGTTTATCCAGTTGAAACTTACACTGTAAAATCCTGGCTCCCCCAAAGCCTATGAACCTGCAGGTCACCCATAACAAGAGACGTGAATGTCCTAGCAATCAGGTGATATGGTCTGTGTGTTTTGTGCATGCACATCCCTGATCCAGAAACATCTCCTAAACTTTGCCAACCTCCCACACAAACTATTTGTATTGCAGGAGTAATCTGAGGGGGGCAGCACACAGGGGGGCACAGTTGGGATGTTTTTGTAGGGTTAATGTGCACCCCTCTCTGTGGTCCAACATTTTGGCTCCATATTTGGTGCTAACCAAGTCAGTGGCAAGAAATGTGTCTTGTCTCTGGCTGAAAGAGAAAATACGAAAAGGCCATATCACATTTCCTAGGGACTGTCGTATCATAGCAACAGTTGTCTGTCTCACTGCTGTGCCGCTGCATCATTTAATGTTCCACAGCTTTTTCTCAAGGGTGGAATCCATGCCACTGTAAAAATTACTGCACATGAATTGGTAGCGTTGTTGGATAATTGCAGTACAAAAATGTATATCTACAAAATACATCATCATTATTGACTCTATTTAGAATGAACTGTTGCTTCTGCATAAGAATACGGGATTTTATTCCCCCCTTTCAAGGGACTTTTAATGGAAAGCTGATTAAAGCTGGTGAGAATTTTTTTTGTCAAAATGCTTTTTGTTGGAAAATGCTAATTTGTTGAAACTGAAACCCTTCATGGTGAAAGATCGGTTTCAACAAGTTTCCCACGTTGAAAAAATTATGCCAAAAAAGTTTCAAGATTATTAAAACATCCTATTTCATTAAAACATCCCTATTTTTATATTTTTCAGGTGACACATTCCATTTTTTGGTTTGAAACCAGTTTTTGTTTAGAAATATAAATTAGTTTATGTGTTAGTTTTAAAAAAAGTGAAAAGGCCATAATTGAAATGAAATGTTTTGAATTATCTAAACAAAACATTTTGTTTGACCTGATCTAGATTTATTATTATTATTATTATTTATTATTTATTTGGCTTTTTGATTTGTGAAAATTTTTTGAGTTAATGACTTTTTAACTGATTTAGGATGGGAATTTTTTTTTTTTTTTTTTAATTCTTGCAGGATGGGAAAACTGTCCCATGCCCAACTATCCTTTACTATGTGTTAATACTGCCTGGCTCCCTTAACTAGATGTGGCTTTTCTTGTCACTTTCCCCCCAAACTGAGGACTTTACATGGAAAATGAAAACAGTGTTCCTGAATAATTTATGATCAACAGCAGAAACAGAGACTTTGTTCTACACTAGCACTTTTGTTGGCAAAACTTTTGTTGGTCAGTAGGTGTGAAAAAACACCCCTGACCTACATAAATGTCACCGACTAAAGCACTGGTGTGGACAGCGCTATGTCAGCGGGAGATTCTCTTCCACCAATATAGCTACTGCCGCTCGTTGGGGGTGGTTTAATTATCCCGGTGGGAGATCTCTCTCCTGCCGGCATAGAACGGCTACATAGGAGAATGTACAGACCTGTTCCACTGTAAGGTCTGTAGTGTAGACATAGCCAGACTCCCTGCCGTGAGGAACTAGAAAATATCCATGTCAAAGAATGCATCACCTTACTGATCACCCTGGTTAACACGGAGAGGCCAAGGATTCAGTGCTTATGGAAACTGAATTCCTTCTTTGCCCCTACAGAAGGTCCCTCCAGGTCAGAGTTGAGGGTAATGTGAGAGGTTCACATTTCTGCTGCCCATGCTTTTGTTTGTTCTGTGATTCTATGGAGAACTTCATATCACTAGTGTCAATCTGGCTTCTTTATCGGGCACTAAAAATACCATACATAAAAAAGATTGCAGTATTGTTTGGAAACCACCCATAAGCAACCATGATTTACCTACTACCTTGGTTTGTCAGGTCTCACTATTGTGGAGCATTGACAGCATTTACACAATGATGTAAGTTACTGCAGTGTGAGAGCATTTGCCAAAGTGTCATAAAAGCTTTAAAAAAGCTAAACAACCCTTGCCTTTGTTTGTGCAGCCTGGATAAACTGCTTTCTGTTGTGCTAGCTAATCTCAGTGTTGACACTATCACAGCAATGTAGATTGAACCTAACCTCTTTTGAGGAAATACAGTCTTATGAAATACAAAAGAGGAACCAAAATGACACAGAAATCTGAGAGCCCTTGGTGTTTGACTTTAGGTTCAGATAGTTCAATACATTTCTCTTGCTAGAAATTGCTGATATAGGGATGTGTGGATTGGGGTGGAGCTGCAGTCTAAGGAAGAACAAAGCCACATTACCTGAATTACCACATAGAGTGGGCAGACCTTCACCAGGATATATGGTTCTCTAGCATATTAAATCAATTAATAGATTACATTTTTGTTTTCCCTTTTTGCACAGCTGACGACTCAACACCAGATGGTGCTGTCATCCATCACTTACATCGGCTGCTCCATGTCCATCTTCTGTTTGACTATCACTCTGGTCACGTTTGCTATACTGTCGTGAGTAATTTTAACTGTATACCTGCTGAGCAAATATCACCTTGAAAGTTTGGCAGTTTAATGCAAACATTTTCATTTCAGACCACCGAGCTGGATATTTTCAGGTGTTCAAAGGTTATTAATTCCCTAAGCCCCTTTAATTAGATTCTGCACATATATTTGTAACAGTTGGTTGGTTGTTCCTCAATTTAATTTCCCAGAATGGGAAGGTCTTTAAATAGCAAGTTACATCCTTGTAATATATATCCTTGTTTTGCTCTGGTTTTAGAATTTGAAAAGAGGGTTTGAGACTGGTATCAGGGCTGATCCTGAGGTCGATGGGAGTTTAGCCTGAGCAAGGACTGCAGGATTGGGACTTCACGTTTGCCTTTATGTTCATCTGAAGCAAGGCTGTATAAAGAGGCATGACAGGATACAGGGGCAATTCTTCCTTCTTGTCTCCTGTCCTCTTGTGCTGCAGGCATTTGGGAAGGGGTTATTAGAACGGCCACCGAAAGCGCAGAGAGAAGAGAATGCTGTGGTAAAGCCTCCACACCAGCACCACTTGAACTCTCAAGGTGAAACACTGCACCTTTTGAGGTCAATTTGAGTTTTGCAGTTGCCTTCAATGGCGGACGCCCCCTAAAAGTGAGGGGGGGGCACCAGCACATGAACCATGGCCCTACCCCTCATGCGCCCCTTCTCCCTGAGCCCCCACCCTTGCGCTGCCCCTTCCCCTGAGGCCCCATTTGTGCGCCACCTCTTTCCCCCAAGACTCTCTGTCCCCTCCCCTCCGGTCGCTCACCCCTACAGCTGGTAAAAAGTGGGAGGGCTTAGCCCTCCCGCTTTTAAAAGTGATGGGGCCATGGACCCGCCTCTTCCGGCACCCCGGCCAGAATTTCACCCTCAGGGTTTAAATGGGATTGAAGGGATGCATAGGACTTGTGCTGGCCCCTCTGCTTTGGGATGAATTTCACACCAGGCTGGGTAGAGTTTTTAATATTTTGGTTACCATGTTTTTTGCTTTTAATCTGCTGAGAATACATCGCTGCTTGCTGCTGTCTTATTTCTGTGAAGACACTTCCCCAATCTTACTAAAGGCAACTTTATGGGGGTAACAATGTAATTGCTAATCAGCTTCTCTCTAGGGAGCTAATACAGCAAACCAGTGACCTATTTGGGGACTGATGCAGGGCAATAGTCTTGCATGGTCCTTTGCACAGGGGTGAATTCCACCCACTATTTTTTGAGGGAGCTGTGTCAACTAGAGGTAGGAAAATGCTTAGTCATTCTTCTTCTAGCTGGATTTCCCTGCACACTATTTTTCTTTCATATTTTAAGTGGCTGCCACTAAGTTGTACCTAAAATTAAGGTTGAGTAAATCTAATACTGAGCCTGAAAAATTATACAAGAGGCTTCTCAAAGCAAATTCTGAGTTGTCACTTGATCCTTGACTTAGACAGTGAACAAAATACATTGGGCAGCACACTGCAGTATAGAGGCCAAAAACCAAGGTCATGCAAATGAGAATAGGATGCACTCAGAAAGGACCCATGTAATGCCAGCCAATTTGTTTACCACAGTGAGAATTCAGATAGAGAGTGAAACTCCCAGGGATGGATTCATAATATAATTTGGGGAGGTAGCAATTACTGCTGCATTTCCATATTCATAGACAAGTCGTTCACCTGGAGATACTAGCACAATGCAGCATTATAAAAATATGGAAATGATGGGCTTGATTCTCCACTCACTCACTTTGGTGTAACTCCTTTGACTTCAATGGAGTTACTCCTGGTTTACATCTGAGTAAGTGAGGTGAAAATCAAGCCCAGTGTAGTTAATTGTGAAGAGCTGTAAGATGATTTGGCTATGAAAGATACCAGGTACAACCACATTAACGCAGAAACTAATTGTTAAAAATGAAAATGGGTTAAAATGTCATTTACATAATTAAAGAAAACCCCAACATCTCCAAATTGCCTGTTACTCTTCTGAAGAATCTATAGCCTAGACCCTGATCTCAAGTTTTATTGCCTAAAAGATGGTCTAGATAATACTTAGCCCTGCCATGAGTGCAGGGGCCTGGACTAGATGACCTCTCGAGGTCCCTTCCAGTTCTGTGATTCTATGTAGAACTTTAGAATTGATGCCAGGGCCGCCCAGAGGATTTAGGGGGCCGGGGGCAAAGCAATTTCAGGGGCCCCTTCCATAAAAAAAAGTTGCAATACTATAGAATGCTATATTCTCATGGGGGCCCCTGTGGGGCCCGGGGCAAATCCCACCCCCCATGGGCAGCCCTGATTGACGCTGAAATATAAAATACTCAATAGACTATAATCCTACATTGCAGATAGGAATGGGCAAGATGATGGAATAAATCTTTCCTGTCTCTAATTTATATGAATTTGGCATATATTTTTCATACAGAACTGAAACAATTATATCACATCATCCTACCTTTGTTTTTAAGCAGTTACTCTACCTCTGCTGGCCTCGTTTTCCAATGGTCCCTTAGTAGGACAAACAAATCCAACAAACCAAGTGAAATTCACTCCAGTGCTTGTGTTAAAGCCCTCTGCACAACTTCAGCCTCCTGTTAGTAATGTGAAAGTCCTTTAGTGGTCTCTCTGCACTGGAAGACTTTTGCCATTGAACACTTGAGACAGTTAGGAGGATGAAATAGATGTGTATCATTGTTTATTATTTGTATAACAGCAGTATCAACTGAAGTCAGGGCCCAATGTGCTAGGTTCTGTACAAACACACAGTAAGATACAGTCCTTGCCCCAAACAGCGTACAATCTACATAGATAAGGCAAAGGGCAGGAAGGGAAAGAGGCACAGAGAGAGGAAGTGGCTTGCCCAAGGTCATACAGCAAATCAGTGGCAGAGCTGGGAACAGACTCCTTGTCCGTTGAGCCCAGTCCAGGGCCTTTGCCACTAGACCAACTGCCTCCTAATTGTTCAAGGGATGATTTGACCACTGAAGTGTAATCTCTGAGCATCCTGTTAAGAGGACCGGGTTTAGAAGCTGGATTATATGAGGCGTTTACTGCCCTACACCAACAACAAAACACTAGTTGTCATGTTTATTTAGTTTGTTCCAACACTGTGATATTCCTTCTAAGTCTCACGGTCTGACTGGGTCATGCATGGACGCACTGTGCCTGGCTGCGGATCTGAGGCACTATGATAACATAACTCATGGAAACGCCAGTTTCCAAAGGGCTCCAAAGCCTACATATGTGTTCTTGGGCAGTCAGAGCCTTTGCTAGTGGGAGATCTACTCCATGGATCCCTCGCTGCTTCTGACTGTGAGAGCCGAACAGCGGCTGGGAGAAGGTTTGGGAAGGAAAGGAGCTATGTTACTTCATACAGCTCCCAGGAAGACACCTGGGCTGTGGAGCCCATAGGGAAATGGGAGACATCAGAAGACTTAAAAGAAGAGCTTGGACACAGCTTCTAATCCCAAGGCTGTTTCACACCATTCATACATAGCATTTCTTTGAAACCATGCCATGCCACTTAAAATAGTTTGATTAGTTTTTTGCTAGAGGACAGGGTCTCCTTAGACAACTGAAGGGAAATGTTGCAAACTAGTTTTAAATGGCTGTGAACTAAGCAGAGTAGAATCTGTCGAGTTCTTCGCTTCTGTACACACTGGCAACAGATAATCAGTTTCTAAGAGTGCTGCAGCCTTACTTGCTTTCTGGATTGGTGATGCTTCAGTTTATGTCTACATGAAGTTCATTAGTAGAGAGACACTGGCACTGTACAACACTAAGTTGTCTCTTTGAATTACTTTTAGGACATAGAGAGACAGACAGACCTCTATCTCTCTTCAATAACCGGCTAAAATGATGACAAAAAAAGGCAACGTGACAAAAAGCTATACTTGTTTTCCACCTAGTCTGTGTCATTGTGTCATCTGGCGGCGGGCATTATATGATGTATCATCATGAGCAGTGGGCAGTGCGGCGAGTTGTGTAGGAAAGATGTGTACAGACAGTACTATCACTCATGATGCCAAACATCCAGCCCAGTTACTGAAATGGTTAAAACTGGTAGATAGGGACTGGCAGGCATTGGATTAAATAAGAAAATCTGCTGTCCCTAAATCTTCTTCTCTTTTTCGAATCAAATTATGTTGAGGATCTGAAATATTCAGACAAGTTGAGGTTTTTCACTTCCTGGTGGTGGCTGGGAAACAAAGCAAAAGTGCAGAAAGCTTTTAAGAAAGTGTGTTCTCTTAGGATTTTCAGTCTGCTTTTCTAGAGCTAAGAGAGAAAGGTTCAGACTTTTTGTATTGTGTTAATGCCCAGGTGGCATAACCAGGGTCAGGGCCCCACTGAGCTGGGTATTGCACAGATACACAGAAAGGTACAGTGCCTGCCCCTCCCCGAAGCTGGCAATCTTATCCAAGTCGAACCTGAATTTGAGCCTTTTTAGGTTCACTCATTCCTACTGAAGTAGGCATAAAATGCTTGTGTTGAATACAAGTTAAAATCAAGCTGTGATGTCATTCGGGCTGGATTCTGCAAGATGTGGAGGGTCTTCTGCAAGGTGCTGATCTGCCTCTGTGCCCACTGACATCCTTCGGAGCTCAGCACCTTGCAGGATTGGGCCCTTTATTAATACTCTTCCACCCGTTACTAGTAGAGCTACTTAATGTGCAATTCAATCCTTTTGGTTTGTTCAGTTGTGTCAGCATATTGGGGAACCTGATTAAACACAGCTCAATCCTGAAGGAAGAAAGAACTGAAAACCACATAATAAAAAATAACCCCACGCAAATAAATCATAAATGTATTACTGCTTCTTGGAATATTGTTCTATTCATGAGCCTTTCTTCCTTCACCCAGCTCTGTCAGCACCATGCGTAATCAGCGCTACCACATCCACGCCAACCTGTCCTTTGCCATCCTGGTGGCTCAGATCCTGCTTCTCATCAGCTTTCAATTCAGCCCTGGAATGGTAAGTATTGAAAAGCACGTTTTGCCTTTTTTATTTATTTATTTTGTTGGCAAGTCATCTCCATGGAAGTAAATACAGCATGCCAAGTGCAAGATAGTGTGTATTACAACCTTTCTCTTATTTTAGACACACATCTATGCCAAAAATCCCAACCCACAGCACAAGACAAAGCAAGTTAAAGGCTTTTATACCCCCAAAACTGTTTTATCGCTGCATCCGTCCGTGCTTGGCATTTGCAAAATAAAAACAGAGATGCTGATCGTCAAATGTATGAAACTATTTCTATTCTGTTCCATTCTACCTAGATTCTCATACTCCCCATATCACCATAATGTCCAAACACCTTAGTGCATTAAGTGATCTAACTAACAGCTGTCATGTTTGGTTCATCCTTTCTCTCCTCTTCTCCCCAGGGAGGAAATTGCATGTGCTGTAGCATTTTTTGTAGGTAGGATTTTTCCCCAGTATGTGCATGTTGCACTATGTTCACATTAGACAAGGACAATTTTTGAAGAAGGGCCTCTTGCACTTTGAGTGGAAGGAGGTGAGGTTTCTGGTGGTCCTAGTTCCTTTGGCAGTTAAGTTCTTCAGTCTTGGACTAGCTCCTGAGAAAGCTCTGTCTCCTGCAAAGATGAACTTTACTTGTGTCGCAGAAAGTTCTGTTGTGCTGAGGAACAGAATTGTTGACCACAGTCCTTTCCTGGAGTTTTAGATGATTTTTTGGCTGTCATGGCCTTAGGCAATTGAGCGAATTGAAGATAAGGACCAAGACCTTAAACTTGATTCAGTATTCTGTGGGAAGCCAGTGCAGAGAGAGAGGACGGGTTTGATGTGCTTGGGATAGCCATGCTGCTGAAGAGACGTGCTGCAGGGTTCTGCACTGGCTGGCGTTTCCTAAGGGCTGGTGGCTCCGTTCCCCAGGTATAAGTAGTATTGTCGTTCAGGTGGAAGGTGATGAAGGTGTGCATCACCAAAGCCAGGTCATCATCCACCAATATGGGACAGAGTTTCTTAGCCAGGCAGAGACGGTAGGGAGCATTACTGGAGGGTGCTGCTCTGTGAGAGCACTCCTAGACTATGGACTGAATTGACCAATTGTAGGTGTGTACCTGTTGGCAGGAAGGGACACTTCCCACCTTGCAGTTCTTACAAGACTTTGAAAGCAATGTACTAACTTTTCATTTAAAACTATGGGCCATATTGAACCCTGAGATGCACTGGTCTTCAGTTTATGGACACAATCCTGCAGATGAAAAGTTCCTTGCTCCAAGCAGCTGCAGGATCAGGACTGATACCATTTGTTAGACCAGAATAATAGGGATGTGCCAAGTTACCCACAACAGATGTAATGAGCAAATAGTTCTGGCTTCCCACCAGAGGAAGAACATGTAATTTGTTACCATTGATGTACTGCTGTTTGTTTGTGTGTGTGTGTGTGTGTGTGTGTGTGTGTTTTAAAAAAGCTATTTAAAATTAACACAGGATCCTAAGATGTAAATTCCCTCCTGTGTCAGGAGAAAACAATCATATTTTTAGATAATGTTCCACAGCACTTCAGTTTTTTAATAGAACAAAAGTTGGCTGCTTTGGAGATCAGCTGCTGTACCATACTGCTTCTGACAACCAACATGCAGGTTCTTACTCATCTGTCAGTCTTTCTGTTCTCAGTACAAGCAAATATGAGAGTTGTGTGCTTTTAATTCGGGCAACCAAAAACATAGGTAAATTTGTATTCAAATCAACTGGCATCCTGTGGGCTTCTGGTAAGTTAATAATATCTGACATTTACATAGCAGTTTTCATCTGAGGATCTAAAAGCACCTTGTAAAACTGGGTATCCTTAATTTCATTTTACAGAAGAGTGATCACACAGAGAGGGCAAAAGACTAGTAGAAGATCACCCAGTGAATCAATGGCAGAGCCAAGAATGGCATATAGGGAATCCCAATTTCTAATATCCCACCATCTGGAGGCCCTGGGTTATACTTTTCTCACTAGTGGTCCATGCTGCCCTGCTCCTCACACCACATATGCCAATATGGCCCCGTGTTCCTCATGTCTTGGCACCCCTGCATTGGCTGATGGTGATTTTCAGCAGCAGTGTCATTTGTGGGGCCGTGGCATTTGTCTCTCCACCCATGTGTCAGCCCCTGACATGCACAGCTCAGGGATAAAGGTTGGCATAAAAACATGAAAGAAAAGTAAACAGTTCAACCCCAAACTTCCTATCAGCTGAAACCTCAGCAGGTCCTGAGTGAGCAAGATAAGGTGCAGGAGAGAAAATGACAGTGAATGGTTTAGATGGAAAATAAAATACAGACAGCAGAAAACAGCAACAGTGATACAATCTGAAATAGAAAACAAGGGAAGCCTCACACGAAAATAATGCTCAATAAATCAGGAAGGATGCTAAAACTCCACCGAGAGGACAGTCTTGGGGGAAATAAAATACATATAGGGAATAACACAACATGGACATGGTCTTTCTCTTGCAATTTCTACTGATATGGGGTTTTGAACAAAAGCCCTTTGGCTCCTTGTCCTCACCTGCTCTCCCCACCTAGTCTTTTAAAATGCTAAGAATTCTCAGTTGCCTTTCTGGTGAAGGCTCCTTCTTTTTTGGATGGCTCTTGCCAAAGCTGACCACGTTCACCAGGCTCTTGGCCTCTTATGGTACTGTGGCCCTGTCTGCAAGCATACACGGATGGTTTAATTAAAGCTGTTTAGTTAAGGTGATTCAGTTAAACTGATGCAAACTCCTGTGTAGACACTAATTTCATTTTAAGAGTTCTGTATTTCGATTTAGCTTAAACCTTCTCCAAGTTGACTTGAGCTAAACTGAACTAAGCCTGCTTTAAGCCAGAATTAGAACAGCACTGGTTTAACCAGGGCCGGCTCCAGGCACCAGCCAAGCAAGCTCATGCTTGGGGCAGCAGATTCTATGGGGCGGCATTCCATGGCTGCTTTTGTTTGATTTTGTTTTGTTTTTTGTTTTGTTTGCCGATCCAGCCGCCCTGTAGGGGGCGGTGGTGCGAAGGAGGGGAGCGCCCTGCTGTGAGTGGGCTGCGTGCTCCGTCTGCCCCAGCCAATGCCAGGTCTGTAGGAAGCCCGGCAGGGCAGCCCGCGTCCTTCCCTCCCCGCCGACCGGAGCGGCGTGACAGTCGGGGCCGCGGGGCAAACGCCCCGCTGAAGCTCTGGCCATCCCCCTTCTCTCTCTCCCCCCACTCTCGCTCCCTCCCTCTCCCCCCCACTGCCCGGGGCACGTCTGCAGCTCAGGGAGTCCCCCTGCACCCTGACTCCGGCCGCCCTGAACGTTTTTTTTTTTTCCTGCTTTGCCGCTCCGGCCGCGCTGCAGGTTTTTTTTTGCTTGGGGCAGCAAAAAAGCCAGAGCTGGCCCTGGGTTTAACTGAACTGCTTTAATATCACACCTTAAGTAAATTGGAGCAATTTTGCCTACATACAGTCCCTAAGCCAATGTATGTAACCTCTCTGTGCTTCAGTTTTCCCACCAGTAAAATAAGGATGATTATATGTACATATAATTATAAAGGTCATTAAGAGCTATGGATGAAAAACTCTTCATAAGTATTAACTACATGATTATTATTGTTTTTGTTTGTTGCTGTGTTCGGATGGAAGATCCTCGGTGTTACAATTCATCCTTCTTATTATTCATGTGTCCTTGAAAGCTTTTACTTACTGAGTATTCTGCTGTTACTAATTTTAAAACTGATTACCCTTAATTGCTATTTTAATTGCATGGGCTGGAGGATACTGCACAAAAGAGAGAGAATTTACTCTAGGTGCTGTGGTTTGTTTCATCTTCTCTTTCTGCTAGAGATGAGTCTATCTAGTCAAGGCAAAACAATTCTATAAACCCTATACACACCACCATGCTCCAGGTGTCTCTCACCCTTCAAATCCCAGAAGCTGGGACAGAATATCAGGGGAATCACTCAAAATTGCCCTGTTCTGTTCATTCCTTCTGAAACATCTGGCAGTGGCCACTGTCAGAAGACAGGGTACAGGGATAGATGGACCATTGGTTTGACCCATTTTTATGTTCTTATATTTTCAAATAAAGTGTAGTAACAATTAGGTCGATGTAGCCAAACTCAGTACAGCAGAGGCCTAGGAGTGGCATTATCTCAATAGATCATAGAATATCTGGGTTGGAAGGGACCTCAGGAGGTCATCTAGTCCAACCCCCAGATGATGCAGCAATACCTGAAATTACCACTGCCCTTGGATTTTATTCAGGATCTCTCTAACCCACCGTGGAATCTGGGTGCTTCAGCCTGGATACCAAAGAGAGCTGCATGTAGCCCAGTGTTTGTGCCATTCAGGCAGATCTCAGTTACATTACCTGTCCATTTGCCATTTCTACTACATTCATTTTGTAGGGTGAGCACAAATGTAGTCAATTCCATTATAACCATAAAACAGAGGAACTCTTTCCTTTAAATGTATTTAGCTCCTTATAGAAAATTTAATCCCTAAGACTTAAACAATAGGGATAAACTGGCATTATATGTTGTACAGCTCTCAGTACAGAATTAATCCTGAAGTCACCTGGGCCGTTTTCTTAGAGAGAGTAGCTTCTGCACATACCATATTTTCCCCTACTGACAGGCACATCAAGCACCTTTGCCATCCAAACAGTGGCAGCCAGAGTGGATTTAAAAAAAAAATTAAAAAATTATGTTTTCACATGCTACAAAACAAAACAAAAAGCCAGCGGCATCCAGAGACCTGCATGTTTGTGGGGGGGAATCACATGTATTTACACAAAATAAAATGAAGTCTACAGTGACCTAGAGGCAGTAAATAGCCTTATGTTTTATTGGCAAAACCCAGTGTGTATCAGCAATCGTTTGAAGTGCTGCAGTTGGCATATTGAGCTGTTGTTCACTCTGTGATCCTCTGAGCACTATTGAACCATAGACACAGGACAGAAAGGATAAAGTAACTCCACAAGATGAGGAAAAAACAGCTACCTTTACTTAGGCTACAGTCCTACGGGTATCTACCTAAACTGAAGTTCAAATGATGAGTGCAGCAGTATATAAACAGCACATTTTCATGGTGGGTTTGTTTGTTTTTTTGGTACTGTAACAAAACTGCCACTCCAGCGAGAGGCACCAAGATAAGTTGGATTCAGACAATTTGCCCAAACGAACCTGGATTCATACTGAATCCATGGATTGCATCAATCTTAATTTCCTTTGCTTCCACGTTGGCTTTGCTTCGCTCAGCCACTTTCTGTTTCTGATACATCTGGTTGGCTGGGCAGCAAATGGACAGCTCACATTTTACAGATCTAGCCTCTATTGTAGGTTGGTTTTCTGTTGCATTTTTTTTTTTAGGAGGGGGCACCTTTCTTATGTAAATCAGATAGAATTTAAATGGACTCCATGTTATTGTTTGGCCTCTGATATTATGATGAACTTAACCAGGATATTTTTCTTAGGTTTCATCAATGAAGAGATCCAGTTGTGGTCCAATGTCACCAAAACATTTCAAAATTCCTTATGTATTAGTGTTGTTTGTTTGTACACTGATTTGGGCGTTGTGAAAGAATAGTGGGTCAGACACTGATCTCACATCAGTTAAATTCAAAGTTATTTTGTTGCAGTAAGTGGAGTTTTTATGGATTTGTTACTGGTCTATCAGAAAAACAGGAACTATGTCCCTGCTTCAGTTTAGAACCTCGAGCATGCAGCTCAGATAGGGCTGGGAGAGTTCAACTCTCATTACATTACCAAGTCTCTAAACACCCCCAAAAAGCGTGAAATGCCAGGACATGGCAGCTAAGCTAGTACAACAAAGGGAGCTGCTAATTTACATTTGAAAGTAGTGGAGGCACCAGACTGGTTCCCATTGGCAACGTTATTTTTGCACATAGACATCCAGGGAATTGAAGCATTACTGTGGGCTTTGCCCAGGTGAAGGAAGGATGCTAGGAAAGAAAATAACTGCTCTTTTCTCTTCTCACTTAACTGGATTGTAAACTAGCAAAGGCCCCTGTGAAATGCAGTAGGTGTCTAAAAAGCTTTTTGAGTAATATTGTCAAAGCAAAGCAATCCAGACATCATCAGTATGTTGGAAAAGATGCAATATTGAGATGTATCTGGGATTCATTCCAAGGAGGCCTAAAATATACCTTAACCTAAAGCAGACTAAACAAGTGTGTCTTGCAGTAAATCATCTGCAACTAGCAGTGGAAGAGCAGTGTGCTGTGTGCATACATGGGGAGTGGGGAAGAGCATAGGATTAGGTGTTGCTGTTTTTATAAGACAGGCAGTTATGGGATTTGGCAGAAAATGTATCTCTTTGAGGAATAATCAGCGATAACAGTTACGGTGTCAGCCCCTTAGGGGAAGTTGACAATTAAAGCCCATGCTTATATTTCCTGTATTCTGTATGAAGCTCATGAACATTGTCTAATTGAGCTGAATATGACCTAAGAAGAACGTTTCTAGTTCAGCTACATACTCCTAGCGGGCATTCCTCTCTTTATCAAGAATTCATTTGTTTATCTTCAAAGCATTTTATAGATAAAACTGAAATTACTATTTCTCCTTACCTAAGTTGGACTCCCCTACTTTCTGGATGCCATGTTGGCCAGTGAGACTATTACTGTGTTCACCCGGGCTCTTAACATTATATTATTCACAAAGACGCAGCCTCCCCTGGATCCTTCTCTAAGGTCATCACTTTTCCTTTTCCCAGAATTTTTCTGGCTCACGGTGTCTGAAAGAACTCAGTAGACATGCCTCCCAGTCCTATGCTCTAACCACTAGACCCATTTCTGGCAAATATGGCTTTGTACATTGGGCACTGTAACTTACCCTGGGAAATGGATGCTATTGGACGGGCAAGTGTGTAATACTAGCTTGATGACTACCATAAGGCAATTATAACTCATGACCTAACTATGGCTCATTATAAGCCAATTTGGACACTTTTTAACATGTAATGTAGTGAATGGAGAGTCTTGTGGACTTGCTGAATGGCTAATGGGAAAGACACAATTGGAAATACAATACGTTTGAGTCCAAATGTCCTATTTTAAATATGAGGAACAGCAGACTAAGGAGGGACTCACTGGCAAGATAAAGTTAGAAACTAAGGCCCAGAGTTTTAAAGGTATTTAGGCCTTGCTGTGCTTAGCATTGCAAAGCCTAACTGATTTAGGACAGTCAGTGAGATTTGGGGTCCTAAGTGCCTACATCACTTTTGAAAATAAAACTTAGGCTCCTAACCTGGTTAGGTGTTGCAATGCTGAGCACAGCAAAACACCTAAATAGCTTTTAAAAACCTGGGCCTGAGATAAATCTGACACTTTGTTGAGATATCTCCTGAAAGCCACATGCACTGACTTTCACTAAACCCTTGGAGAAATTCAGCTTCTCCTTCTCCTACCACAAGTCATGTCACCCCTTGCTTCCAAATCTCCTATTTATCTCATATTCAGTTGTCTCTAGAACTACCTCACCAAGGGGGTTGATGCTGCACCCTTGAATGCCTCTAACTCTCATTGACTTCAGTGGGAGTGGTTGGTATGCCGGGGGCGGGGGGGGGGGGGGGGCACAGAAACAGGCATCTGGTTTGGTTCTCTTCAGCCCATCTGATACAAATGGGTTTGTCAACTAGTTTTTCTAATTACAGACTGGGCTCCTTAGAGATGTCACTTTGAAGCTCTCTCTCTTGTGTTTTATTATTTTTCTTTACTATCCTTTTACTCTAGTGTGGTTTTTTGTATAGTGTGAAAACATAAAAAACCCAAACTGATTATGGGAAAAATTCACTAAGATTTTTGACAAATTATTTTTTTTTGCTTCATATGGTAGGTGCCTTGCAAAATCTTGGCCATTCTCCTTCATTTCTTCTTCCTGAGTGCTTTTGCTTGGATGCTGGTGGAAGGATTTCATCTCTACAGCATGGTGATCAAAGTGTTTGGGTCAGAAGAGAGCAAGCATTTATACTACTATGGGATTGGATGGGGTAAGTGTTTAATAACAATCTCCTCCTCATCTTTTTTTAAACCTGCAATAAGAGCTCATATATGAATCCTGGCCACCAAATTTATATAGTGTAGATAAAGCTGAACTTTGGGACAGCATTAAAATCACATTGTACCATGTTATTTATCTGATGTGCCGTCTCTCATATTAAAAGTGTCTCTGAAATAGACAAAAGAAGGAAGCAGCTGTAACAGTGATCAGTCTGTTTTGCAAATAGCAGGTCTGTTAGGTAGGAAGATGCATCACTTTTCTGACCATACTTTGAAGTATATAGATCCTAATCCAAATCCCATAGAAGCAAATGGAATCAATTCCTTTGACTTCTCTGTGAGCTGGATCTGATTCTTAGTCATAAAGCCAATAACGGACTAAGTGGGGCTCTTGCAATACCCATGTGTTCTATTCTGGTTACTCATTTTGTGACATTGGGAACATCACCTTTTACCCCCCTATTTCCCCACCTGTGAAATGGATATAACAGTTCAGGAGATTTCATTAGCTGATGATTGTAATACACTTTGACATCCTTATGTGAAAGGTGCTACATAAGAACCCAGATTTAAGACTAAAAATGTGATCGTAGGATTCAGGAATATTGAACAGGTCAATTCACTACTTTTCAAATGCAGGATCCAAAATATGAGCTGCACGCATGGCAAAGTGAATAAAAACAGCCCACTACGCCTATCTTATTCAAAACTCTTCACACAAGACAAAAGATATCTTGCTCTCATTGTTTTGGAGACATGTGAATGATGCTTGGCAAAGCTCCACAATTAGAAGAAGAAAAGGAAAGTGATATACTGGGACAAAAGGAGGCGTGAGAAAAGATAACAAAGAACAGAATACCTATATCATTATGGATAATTTCAAAAATATTTTAAAATAGGCATTATCTTTTCTCCACTGATTCATTTGGAAGCTGACTCAAAACCAATTATAACAATAATACAAACCTACTGCAGTCATAATTGGAATATTTAATACCTATTCCACACTGCAGGCCTTGGCAGTAGCAATGCCATTCATTTACATGTTTCAGCTGCTCCTACTTTACATTTTTTCAGCATGACCTTTTTATTCTGCTCCTCACTTTCTTTTCCTTTTAAAAAAATCTTCTTCTAATGAATTTTCTTCAAAGTGCCTCTGGATACACATTCTTGGGTAACATGGTCTCCATCATATTGGGGGAGCAAACTCTAGATTAATTAGTTAAAACTTCTCCCCACTTTGCCTCTGTGTGAAAGGTTAGATATATCAAATCCATTTATAGCTTTGTCAGTTGCCTTGGAGAAAATCCCAGGGAGAACAGCTGGTGTTTATGGAACATGCCAGCTAATCAGTGACTCTGTTAGATAATGGAAGTCCTTGGAGAAAACAAACACTCTTATTGGTTAACTCTCTTCTTATCATTCTCCAAATGTTCTTTAATTGGCTGCATGAGCCGTGACTCCCACCACCACTTGGTTCCACTGCCGATGGCCAATGAATGTTCCTCACTGGCCAGTCTTCACTGTTGTGTCTGGGTGAAAATAGAAGTCAATTAAAAATTCCAAGCAAAACTGTCAAAGCTTGACTTCTAGTCAATCTTTTGAAAATCGCTTCATTTCGCAAGCGTTCTCAGTGGTGCTACATTGTCTCTTCCCCCCTCTCCCCATGGTTCTATTGACTCACGTAATAATAAATAAACATGGAATCAGTCACCCCAACTGGAACATTGGTTAAAAACAGAACTTCACTGCACATTGGACACTGGATCTAAGCTGACTTTTTCTAGGAGAAATAAACAACAAGAGAGAGACAGAAAGGGAGAAATCTTATTCGTTGCCCTTTTCCTAACTGATCTAAAATGAATTCAACAATCAGGAAAACAAATTCAGATAAGGTTCTTTTTGAGTCTGACTCTGCAGGTGAAATACGAACCCTTGGGATAAGAGCTCTGAGAGAGAGAGAGAGAGGGGGCGGTCTGGTTGAATGCAATCGTGCATTAAGCCATTGACCCTGAATTTCCATTTTCATGCATGTTTGACCTGCTTGTCTAAAGACTTTTTATTGCTGTTACCTTTTCCACTTTATAAATTATAACCATACAAGCCTTTTGCATCTTGAAATTAAACTCACTTTGCTACTTCATCTGGCTGTTAGTGGACTGCCCATATTGTAACTGATTGAGGGAAAAGTCTGCACTCCTCACAGCAGATGTGTTAAACTTGTTGAATTTAATTTAACTTAGGGCTGGGAAGATGTCCCCCACTTCCTCCTACCTCCTCTGGAGATGGTGAGATGCCATCTCTCCATGCCAACGAACTTTCCATGAATTAATGTCACGTACAGACTTATGGAATGCATCCTTCAATCTGATTGGTTTAAATGAGTTGTGTTCCTTAAAGAATGACCAATTTATATGCCTACAATGCCACTCATGCATCTGACAGCTGCTGTTTTCCAAAAAAGTTTTAAAGCTGTCCTACAGTGCTGTCAGCAAAGTCCTGTGAAATATTTTCAGAGAAACCGGAGAACCACCAAGAAAAACTCCCCCATTTCAGAGTGGTAGCCGTGTTAGTCTGTATCAGCAAAAACAACGAGGAGTACTTGTGGCACCTTAGAAACTAACAAATTTATTTGGGCATAAGCTTTCGTGGGCTAAAACCCACTTCATCGGATGCATGCAGTGGAAAATACAGTAGGAAGATGTATATACACAATACACGAAAAGATGGGAGTTGCCTTAGCAAGTGGGGGGTCAGGTCTAACGAGACAATTCAATTAAAGTGCGCTATTTTCAACAGGAGAAAAAATCACTTTTGTAGTTGTAATCATGGTGGCCCATTTCAAACAGTTGACAAGAAGGTGTGAGTAACAGTAGGGGGAAATTAGCATGGTGAAATTAGTTTTTCATTTTTGTAGTGACCCATCCACTCCGAGTCTTTATTCAGGCCTAATTTGATGGTGTCTAGTTTGCAAATTAATTCCAGTTCTGCAGTTTCTCGTTGGAGTCTATTTTTGAAGTTTTTTGTTGAAGAATTGCCACTTTTAAGTCTGTTATTGAGTGTCCAGGGAGGTTGAAGTGTTCTCCGACTAGTTTTTGAATGTTATAATTTTTGACATCTGATTTGTGTCCATTTATTCTTTTGTGTAGAGACTGTCCGGTTTGGCCAATGTACATGGCAGAGGGGCATTGCTGGCACATGATGACATATATCACAGTGGTAGATGTGCAGGTGAACGAGCCCCTGATGGTGTGACTGATGTGGTTAGGTCCTATGATGGTGACCCTTGAATAGATATGTGGACAGAGTTGGCAACAGGGTTTGTTGCAGGGATAGGTTCCTGGGTTCGTGTTTTTGTTGTGTGTTGTGTATTTGCTGGTGAGTATTTGCTTCAGGTTGGGGGGCTGTCTGTAAGCAAGGACTGGCCTGTCTCCCAAGATCTGTGAGAGTGAGGGATCATCCTTCAGGGTAGGTTGTAGATCCTTGATGATGCGCTGGAGAGGTTTTAGTTGGGGGCTGAAGGTGACGGTTAGTGGCGTTCTGTTACTTTCTTTGTTGGGCCTGTCCTGTAGTAGGTGACTTCTGGGGACCCTTCTGGCTCTGTCAATCTGTTTCTTCACTTCAGCAGGTGGGTACTGTAGTTTTAAGAACGCTTGATAGAGTTTCTGTAGGTGTTTGTCGCTGTCTGAGGGATTGGAGCAAATGCGGTTGTATTTTAGAGCTTGGCTGTAGACAATGGATCGTGTGATGTGGTCTGGATGAAAGCTGGAGGCATGTAGGTAAGTATAGCGGTCAGTAGGTTTCCGGTATAGGGTGGTGTTTGTGACCATCGCTTATTTGCACTGTAGTGTCCAGGTAGTGGATCTCTTGTATGGACTGGTCCAGGCTGAGGTTGATGGTGGGGTGGAAATTGTTGAAATCCTGTTGAAATTCCTCAAGGGCCTCTTTTCCATGGGTCCAGATGATGAAGATGTCATCAGTGTAGTGCAGGGACGTTAGGGGATGAGAGCTGAGGAAGAGAGAGAGAGTGTGTGTGTGTGTGTGTGTGTCTTCCTACTGTATTTTCCACTCCATGCATCTGATAAATGTGTTAGTCTCTAAGGTGCCACAAGTACTCCTTGTTGTTTATCCCCCATTTCAGGTTTTACTACAAACTTATACCAGGTTTACTGGGGTTCATAGATCATTTGTGTGAATTTAGGCCTAACCAGAAGAAAGCCTGAGCTAATTTGTGGTTTGGGGTTGAAATCACATGAGATTTGCAGGTTCATATTGTTTCCGTGCAGAAAGGCAGTTTTCGATTGAGATTTTTGAACCCCTAATGTCCGAAATGCCCAAATGGATCGAAATCTAAGAAAATGTTCTTACAAACTGTTGGGAAGTGAAATAGGCAAGTTTCACATGGTTCTTGTTTGAAGAGGCTTTTAAAAAATATCTATTACTATGAAGAATAAGGATATGAATCTCATTCATAGGGGAATTGGCTTACAGCATAAACTTTGATACATTTAATTAACAAACAATTCCTCATTAACTACTGCTTGAAGATACATTTGTCTGTGATCTGTATGTATAAGAATGTAAGTTTAGCCTTTTTTTCCTGCTCCCCTATGCTTAATATTAGCATTTATTATTTGTAAAAGTGGCAGTGGTCTGCCCAGTAATGTACCCAACACAAGGAAAAACATGGTGTCCAAGTCTGCAAACACTTATTGTCAAGCAACGATAACTCACATGAGTGTACCACTGGCTTTAAATATTGCATTGTGCCCCAGATTATTGCAGTGTGACCTGAAATACTGCAATATGAGTGCAATAATTAGCATGTATTTAATAAAAGCAATGTGACCTAACCTATTGCAGTGCATACACAATGACTTCTAAATAAATGCCTTGAGTGGTATTTTGAGTAGAAGTTTGTAGGATTAGGTCCTGGGCCTAGGAGCTTGCAGTGTAACTAGACAGCCAACACAAAATTCACTAGGGAACA